TAAATAATATACATAATTAACGAAATATTTGAAGAATAAGTTAAAAAAACAATAATTTTTTTACTTAACGAACTAAGATAATGAATTAAAGAAATAGTAAAACGAAAAATCGAATAAATATTATTATTTTTATTCAAATAAATAATCGAAATAAATAATATACATAATTAACGAAATATTTAAAGAATAAATTAAAAAAACAATAATTTTTTTACTTAACAAACTAAGAGAATGAATTAAAGAAATAGTAAAACGAAAAATCGAATAAATATTATTCAAATAAATAATCGAAATAAATAATATACATAATTAACGAAATATTTAAAGAATAAATGAAATTGAATAATATTTTTTGTACTTCATCAATTAAGATAATTAATTAAAGAAATTGTAAAACGAAAAATCGAATAAATTTGTAAATAATATATATATATAGAGTTAGATAATTAACGAAATATAATTTTTAAATAAATATTAAATAGTCAAATATGTGGAAATTTTTTTGTTTAATTGTTTTAATATGTGATTAGATGAATTTATTTATTGGTTTATTTATATGAAATTTGATTGGTTAAATTTGAAGGTACGATATTTTATTTAAAATTTCTTTTATATGGTTTTAACATGTATTAATTTTGTAGGATGGAATATCATATCGACAACGATCTGAGGGCTCATTCGGGAAAAGTTACGACGTATTGTAACTTTTCCAGCTATACGACAGTACTTGAGGGGCAAGACGAGGAGCATATTGACTTACTCCGTCGATCATTTTTATGGTCGTTCTATCCGTTGAAGGACGTGCAGTTCTCTAGACAGATTGTTGATTCTTTATTACTCCGGCTGCTTAAACCAGTCGATGGCGATCAGTTATATTTTGCTATTGGGGACGGGAAGGTATGTAGATTCTCGATCCTTGAATTTGCCCTGATTACGGGCTTGAGATGTACCGGGGAAGAAGAAGCTAGAACCCGTATTATACGAAATAAAAGGTTATTGGATTTATATTTTGGAGGTAAAGGGCCAGTTACACCACCACAGTTAGAGGATGCATTTAGGAAATGCGATTACATGTTAGACAAGTTGAAGTTAGGGTTGGTGTATATACTGGAGAGTATACTGAGGTGTCGACATCGTAGGACGTCGATTGATCTTTTTTCATTGGATGTTGTTGATGATATCGATGCTTTCAACAGCTTTCCATGGGGTCAGAGATGTTACACCGATACTCTCCATGTATTCAGAAGGGTACACACTATGCCGAAATCGGAGAGGGGCGATCGCAAATATGATGTATATGGCTTTTGCATGGCTTTGCAGGTAAATATTCAGTGTAACGTAATGCGTGTTGAACTTTTTTATTAAATATATATGTAAAGTTTTATTTTGTAATTGTTGCAGCTGTGGGCATATGAGGCTATCCCTGCTTTGGGTAGCAAATGGGCGATCAGAAGGGAGACTAGCTGCCCACGAATGCTTCATTGGCGAGCACATGAAAAGCCATCGGCTAAAGATTTGATAGTTATCCTCGACGATCCTCAGGTGAGTATTATATATTTGCAATTTATATTGTACATACATTTACTCGGGTCGATACACGTTCATTAACACGTTGAAATATGGTATATCAGCTCGAAGTTCATGCTGAGTTGGTTGTCTCGGTGGAAGAGGAGGATGCAATATATGTACGTGAATAACTTGTTCCCCCTACTGAAGACGATCCAGTATTTGAGTCCGTTCCGGATAGAAATATAGTACGTTTATTTAAGTTCATTATTTATTTTGACTTATAAATTCATGTGCGGATTATTAATATTAATTGTCTTCTCTGTGTAGGAGCGTCATCCGGAACTTCCACTTAGGAGATCTCCTTCGCCTCCACCGATGAGATCTCCGTCACCTCCACCGATGAGGTCGCCTCTACCGCCATTATCTCATTCTCCGAGGATATCTCTGTCTCCCGTACCCACCCACCTCCCACATGGATCGCCTACACCCAGTCAGACCCGTCATTCAGATGATTTCTTTGCACGCATGACTGGCATTATTAGAGAGGAGCTGGGAACGATGCGCCGTGATTTTATGATAGAGGTAGTCGCATTACGAGGGGAGATAGGGGTATTGCGACGGGATTTTACGACAGAGATCGTCGCAGTACGAGAGGAGATAGGGGTGCTGCGACGAGATTTTACGACAGATATAGTAGCTTTGCGAGATGAGATTGGAGTGCTGCGACGAGATATAGGAGACCTTCATACTGAGGTTGCAGCACTTCGAGGCGATGTAGCAGGCGTCCGAGGGAATGTCGGGGAGACTGGTGTCCCACGAGATTGGTGGGCAACGGCCGGGGGAATCGATGATTTTTTTGGTTCAGTGCCGGAGGCCGAGAGGCAGGGGTGGAGGTCGGGCCGGAGGTGCCGGAGGAGGCAGAGATAGAGGAGGTGGAGGGAGGGACAGGGGTGGTCGAGGAGGTAGCGGAGGGGACATCAGAGGTGGTAGTAGAGGGGGATGATCAGGTTGCGGAGGATGAGAGGACGCCGGAGATGACGGATGACGAGGTAGTATTCGTGTCCGGGGGGCGACGGAGGCCCCGAAGGGTAAGAAGCGTGCTGCTGACGCGCCAGAGCTGATGGTCGGTAAAAGATCAAGATTGCCGTCACAGTACGTCGTTTCTCCCTACACGGTCGAGGCGAAGAGAAGGGGATTTGTGGATGGGGCGTACCCCAATCTTTTTCGCGACGTCGACCCAGTCAGACAGAAGGCGTTCGATGATTGGTTCAAATCCCTTAAGTCCGAGTAAGTATTTTATGATGTTGCTACTATTTTTTTGTATCTTTGGTAACTGTTTTTTCATTTTTCAGAGATAGTTATACCATCGGCTGTATGACCGTGCCCAATGCTAAAAAGTGGTTTGAAGATGTACTGACGACCTCAGCTTGGCTCGCTGATGATGTAAGTTTTTTGAGTTTCCGTTTATTATATTTATACAAGTTGTTGGTTCATTTATTTAAATGACTCTATCTTTTTTGTTGGTGTTTTTTTGTTTCAGCATATCGACTTGGCTATGGAATTGTTACGCGATCGGGCGCAGAGATACCCGAGATCTTATGACAGTCCTACTCGAGTTATCTTGAGCGCTGAGTTCGTTCGTGTCGTAGATATTGAGCATCAGGAGCTCCTAAGCAAGGGGAATGATTATGTTCTGTCTGAGTACATGCTTGAGTGGGTGATTGGACTACAGTTGAGGTGCGGAAAGCCGTGGACAGATTGTACACATATGTACATTCCAGTGATCGCGAGCTCACACTGTTTTTCGGTGGAGATCGTATTTGCTGATTCCACCATATATGTGTACGACTCTGATCATAGCTGTCTGACGCAAAATCAATTGGAGCAAATACTGGAGCCATTGGCTGTGATCGTGCCCATGATGGCTACTCATGCGATGATTCGAGTAAATGATAGATTAGCCATTGTGCGGAACACGACGACTGCGAGACAAGAAAGATCGTAAGGATTTACAACTTTTAAATTTTCAGATTTAATTTTCAATTATATGTTATGGAACTAATATCTTCTAATTCGGTTGCAGGGGTGACTGTGGCATATTTGCAATCAAGTACATAGAGTTCTTGAGTATTGGTCGCAATGTTGATACAATAAATCAGTCTTCGATTGATATGTGGAGGCATAAATTAGCTTGCGACTTGTATGATTATAATTGTGATCCTTAGTACATTGTAAATTATTTTATTAAAATGTAAATGTTGTTTACTTCAGTAGGATTCGTGTTGTACTGAAAGAAATAAATAATCGAAATAGAGTATATTGTATGATATTATTTTGAAAATTTAAATGATAATCGGGAATTAAATGGACTAAATCGGATGCAATTGGGAAATAGTAAAAAGAAAAATCGAATAAATATTATTCAAATATGAAATAAATAATATACATAATTAACGAAATATTTAACGAATAAATTAAAAACCAATATTTTTTTAACTTAAACAATTAAGATAATTACTTAAAGAAATAGTAAAAGGAAAAATCGAATAAATATTATTCAAATATGAAATAAATAATATACATAAATTTAACGAATAAATTAAAAATCAATATTTTTTTCAACTTAAACAATTAAGATAATTACTTAAAGAAATAGTAAAAGGAAAAATCGAATAAATATTATTCAAATTTCAAAGAAATAGTAAAAGGAAAAATATGAAATAAATAAGATACATAATTAACGAAATATGTAACGAATAAATTAAATTGAATAATATTTTTTTTTACTTAAACAATTAAGATAATTACTTAAAAAATAGTAAAAGGAAAAATCGAATAAATATTATTCAAATAAACAATCGAAATAGAGTAATTAAATATGAAATAAATAAGATACATAATTAACGAAATATGTAACGAATAAATTAAATTGAATAATATTTTTTTCTTAAACAATTAAGATAATTACTTAAAGAAATAGTAAAATACGCGGTGGAACTTCAGGTGGCAACAAATTGTTAAGTGCTACAATATAATCAGGAACTTCCCACTCGGCTTCATTTGGTAGAGGAAATATAGTTTCGGCATACGCTGCTCTCCAAAAATCAGTCATATAATAATGACTGCACAAGCTGTGTGGTGGAAATCCTCTATACATAGCCACTGCGACAGCATGTGCACATGGAAAACTTTCCAATTGAAATTTTCTGCACGTGCAGGTATTGTCATTCAAGTCTACAATGTATCCAACGTTGCGCCCGCATCTCACGGAGAAGTGAAATTGATCTAGTGGTTCCACAGATAGAGCTTTTGCCACTTCCAGAGTTTTGAATAGTCGATCTTCCTGTGCCGGAGCTAGCACACTCGTGCAATTTTGGGATTCTTCACGTCGGTCATAAAACCACTGTTGCAACTTGCTGCGAATATGTTCTATCATTGCGAGAATCGATAACTCTCGATCCTTCTTGAATAATGCATTCAGCGACTCTGCATTATTCGACGTCATCATGTTGTATTGACGTCCTGGAAAATGTGACCGTGCCCAATGTTCGACCCCCATTTCTGATAGATATTCCCATGCACTTTCTGATTTATGTTCTATTTCGCCCATGAACTTTGTAAACTCTTCAAAGCTGTAAGTTTCTGCAGCTCTCCTAAACAATGCAACGACGCCACTGCCCCGGTACCTAGTCTTCAGATTGCCCTGAATGTGGTACATGCAATAACCATGATGTTCTTCTGGAAAAACTTCGGCTATACCATTTATTATTGACTGCCCCCGGTCAGTCACAAATGCAAGGTTCTCGATGTTCCCAATTACTTCTCTCAACTTCGTGAAGAACCAACGCATTGCTAGATCATTCTCTCTATCGACAATGCCAAATGCAAGAGGGTAAATTTGGATATTGACATCTTGACAAGTAGCAATAATCAACTTTCCTTCATATCTAGCTCTTAGGGTTGTACCATCAACTAGAATTAGAGGTCGCATAGCATTTCGAAAACCTCTAATGCATTGTCCAAGAGCCATAAAAAAATACTTGAAGCGATTCTGCCCATCGGTTTCAATAAAAAACGTCGAGTCAGAATTAGTTCTCACCATGTTGTGGCAATACCTGGCCAATTTGGCATAACTCTCCTCTGTCGAACCCATTAAATCTTCCAATACACATTCTTTAGCCTTCCAGGCCTTCTGGTAACTCATAACCACCCCATACTCTCGACAGATGTCGTTGATGATATCTGTAGGTCTGTAAATCGTCCGTGGATCCTGAAACTTGTGCATTATCTGTCAACCAATAAATCATGATCGAGCTTGCCTGTGATCATTTTGACGAATACCCACTTCACAAGTATGTTCTCGCGCATACTTACGAACAACAAAGAACTCATTTGTGTCCATCTTTGTCGCACTCAAACGCCAACTGCAATTGTTGTCCACACAAATAATTGTGTGTGTAGACTTATTTGATTTTTTTACCTTAAACTCAAAATTATGTTTCATTGCAATTCGGTGCGCGGCTTCTTGCAAATCTCTTTTCGTGTCAAACAATTGATCGACATGTAAATCTTCATCATCAGGAACTACACGCGAACAATTAGAAGACCGTGTACTCGGCCCAGCATGTGAGCTCCCACCAGACTCATGTCTCTGTCTGGATAAAGCAATCAAATCCTGATTTGTAAATGGCCTTTCATCCTCGTTGTCTTGAACTTCCTCATAAATCCTTCGTGTAACGGTGACATCATGGTGAGTAGCAACTGCCCCAAGAATAACCACATCATCCTCCCGAGCAATCTCAACAGTATCCCAAAAATCATTCTCATTACGATCCTCTCCATCAAAAACTTCGTGTTCACCCTCGATGACATTTTTCTTCAACAAACTTAGGCAAATAGGAGTCGTCTTTCGACCTTGGTTCAATTGAATTAGATGCTTTATTTGCGCTTCAGAAGTAACTTTCAAAGGTGGAATCGAAATTGTTGAATGCTTTTGAAATAAAAATCCCAATTCCATATCGTACTGAGAGGAATCGACGTTAAGCATGTTTTGTATTTCACTGTACATTTCTGTAAACGAAGTATTTTTTGTTATCGTAATAGCAGCAACCCCTTCTCCTTCACTCGTCCATTTCCATTCCCATTGACCATTTTCTTTCCTTTGAAATTCGTCGAAATAACAGATTGGGATACACGCTTTTGCCATATCTGCATTACGAATTAAAAATATCAGAATAAATTATCAGAAAAAATTATCAGAATCGAGGAGCGGGACGCAAACGGAATCCGGATCGTCGGCAACGGGCGGTCCGGACCGTCCGCAACGGACTGTCCGGATGGTCCGGACCGTCGTTAAATCCGTCATTCCGACGTCTGATCGGTGCCGGCCTGAACTTTGACTCTAATATTATTTTTTCTATCATTTAAAAAAAATATACGACTTCAATAAAAATAAAATTAAATACTACGAAAAGATACTTACCGAATTGAAGTGCTGAAATTTAACTAAATTTTTCTGTTGAGGTTGATAACTGATAAGTTTATGAAATTTTGATGTTGAAGTGGATGAAAAATGGAAGAGTTTTTATCGTGTTAGAGTAAACTGATGAAAAGACTGACTTCGTTTTCAAATTTCAATTGAGCCTTGTTTGAATTTTTATTTGTAACTTAAGGATATTTTTGTCTTTTTACCATATTTCTATTTTTGTAATTATATAACTCATTTAAGGGCGTTTTAGTCTTTTATACAAGAAATGGCTATTGTGGTGAATGTTAGATTTTTATGGTTAAAATGAAAAATGGTTGGTTTGACAAAGCTATACTTAAAAGTACCCCTAGGGTTTTATTGGCATTAGGGCCAATTAAACACTTGTAAGACCATAATAGTTCATTGTTTGTTCTTGATTGAGTTATATAAAACTTTAGAATTCTCCCAATTTTCCGTCTTTTCTTACCTTTCCTTGGATTCAACAACACTAGATTAAGTTGCCTTTCGGCGCATCATTTTCCATTTATTTCAAATTGTTTGTACCGTAATATTTTGTGCTAAACGCTAGACATTTTCGAAAATCAATTCAAAAAAATTAGAATGCCTGTATTTCAAATTCTCAGCACCATTTCCCAATTCAGCCCTTGTTTGAGCCCCATTATTTCTGTCAAAATAGATTCTTCAACAGTGATTTGCACCTGTTTCAACGATACATTTTTCATTAAAATAATATTGCACTTAAATCCAATTTTTTTAACCCCACATTTCTCATTAATATACTATTCAAAAATACATTTTTTTGACAAAAATGAGGCTCAAACAAGGGCTCAGTTTACTCATTACTGAAAGATTGAATTCTTACATTTTGCTAATTAAACTTTTTACTCTTAGAACACATAAAAACTGATTAAGATAAATCCACCATTCCCATCAAATCCCACATTCCATCGTCATTACCCAGATTTAAACTTTTTCTCAAGAATAACCATACAGATCTTGTACCAATTCTATACTATTTAACTAATTTAAGATCAGCCACAAACTGGGTAAGTTTTAATCCATAAAAAAATTATGAATAATCTACGATGCAAAGGAATTAGACATGAATTAGATAGAAATCCAGAATATAAAGAGAGAAATAAACAACATACAGAGAGATCTTGGCTGATATTAGAGATTTCTTCTTTGGCTTTTTCAGAAACCCAAAATGTACTAGCTTTTAGGCTCCCAACTTTTGTTAGGGCTTTCTCCATTCTTTCTTTTTACTGTTAATCCCACAACTTTCCTCCGAAATGGAGAGAAAAAATGGGATTGATTTGAATACAGGGATGGTTTTTTTTTTCCCTAACTCAATTATTTCTGTATGTATTTTTGGGTGGCACAGCTATTCAGTTTTTTGTCACTACTTGCAGAGTGAAAATAACGACGCACCCACAACACAAAAAATATTAGTAAAAAAAGAAAAAAATGAAAAATAAATATGGTTGAAAATAAATGCATTTGTTCAATATTTAATCTAATGGATGACTATCAAATTTAAACCACAGCGAATTTTGAGTAATGCTATTTGTAGTGAAAATTGTCAGTAATCGTCCTATGTAGTATATACTTTGCAATTTGATATTTAATACATAGATATTGTAATTATTTTTTGAATTATATATCAAATGAAAAATTGTCACGTGTACGTCATAGAGAGTGACTGTCGGTAGTTTTCACTGCGAATAACATTATTAATGAGTAGTAAATTACTAGATAACAGGAATTAATAATTCCCACATTGAACATTCATTATTAAACTAATCCATTCATTTATAATTAAATTAAGAAAATAAAAATTGTTTTCGTTTATATACAAATTGTTTTAAACGAGTTCCAAAATATAATTTCTCTTTTATTTTCTACCAGACGATTGTTCATAGCTTTAAGTTTAATCAACTGATATTGTGAAATTGAGCTAATTAAGACACATCTATTTAATATAATTTATTTCCTTGTCCATCAAATTAGACTTCTATTCGACACCTGATAAAGATCCACCTCTTCAAATGGCCAACCTATTATACCAATACTCATTTGATAGGGAATATTTCATAAGAGGAAATTTAACCTACACCTGTTTTTATCTTTCAACTTGAAAATCAGGTTTAAAACCTATTTATTTAAAAATCAGGTTATATTTTAACTTTTTAATTTTGATATTTGTTATAAAATTAAAGGAAAGAGGGAAAATAAGAAAAGAAATGGAAAACAAAACTCAAGTGTGTATATTTATTGAAAATCAAGACTCAGTATTTATAGGTTCTAAAGTAAGAGTTACAATTGGAATAAAATTGATCTTCTAAATTAATATTTATCTATGTATTATGATAATACTAAGAGTGTGTTTGACCAACATTTAAAAAATATATATATATATTTTAACATGATTTAATATCATTTCAATAACACATTTTTCAATAAAATAATATTACACGTAAATCTAAATTTTTTCTTATTTTTTAACCACAGATTTTCCATCACTACACTATATAAAAATGCATTCTTGTGGAAATAATATGTCTCAAAGAAGGGCTAAATAATCGTCAATAATTATTTCATTATTTTACAACACTTCCCCTTTGATGATTATTTATGCAATAACTATTTTATTAAAACTTTGTTTGGCAAAAAAAAACTTGATGGGACAAAAATGCCAACAAATGAAAAAAAAAAACAAATAATTTGAAATAATAAAATACTGCATTGTTAAGACTTTGTCAAGAAAATACTGTAAGACAAAATTTGATTGAAGGAAAAAGAGTACAGCCACTTCTAATTTCAATTCTTGTATCAAGCTATTCACGTCTTCTACATAAATGCCTTTAATATTACAGATTTTGGTAAAGTATGTCTTATGTTGTCTTGCATAGTCTCCACTCTTCAGATAACACCGTCTTCGTACGAGATATTTAACAATCTTTAATGACATTAGTAATATGATAATTCGAAAAAAAAAATCTCTTGTTGAACTCTTTAAGAGTCTCACACATATAAGAGTATACTTTTTAAGGTAAATACCTTGGAGGTTAAGGACATCATTGCACAAAGAATATGTGTCATTAAGACCTTATTAGGTAAAACCCTGTAGGAAAAATCATGATGAAGAAAAAAGAGTACATTATTTTTTCGAGTACACTACCAAAGTTGTCTCATTAAAAATCTTTCAGGGAAAAACCAATGGGACGAAATCTTGATCAAGGGAAAAATAGTATGACGCGTATTTACTTCCCTTTAGGATGAAAATATCATTCGAATTATACTTCAAGCATATTAAATTCTTCAAGGATAATATTAAATTTATGTAAGATAAATTGACTATAATCAATTTATTTTATGCATATCAAATTTAATACATTGTCACTCTAAAAAAGGTAGAGACATGTGATTACATTCACTACATAATAGCTTATCTATTTATACAAGTTTTCATGATATATATTATGTAAAGAGTCGTACATTTCATATACGACTTTATTTTTTCCATTTCTATTTCGCATATGTATACACCTTTTGATGTTCAAACTATAGCTTCAGAAACTTTAAGTTTCTTCAGTAAATTCAATTTATCCCTTGTTTGGGCTCTATTATTCCACATTTTAATGAAGGGAATAGTAATTTTTGAAAGAATGTGTGGTTGAAAAAGAAAGAAAATTTTTTAGGTTTACGTATAATATTATTTTATTTAAGAATGTGTGATTGATAAGAAGAGAGAGAAAAATGAATTTTAATTTAATGGGGGCCAAAATGGGTTTAGAATTGCGTCCCTTTTATTCGGTCAATCATTACTTCGATCGATATATTTCGATACATTTATTTTGATATCCTTGCTATTCATAATATGAAGCAACATATCACATACAAAAGTGTTGTCGATAATTTTTTCTTTTTGGTTCTATTTCTTTTCTCTATATAACATAACTTATTAAGACATCTCAAATTTCATTATTTCGTGTACCTAAACATCTCCAAGATTTTATAATTTGTTATATCTAAATATTTATCAAGAGCATATGCCTCATTAATGGGACCATCTTCGTGAATTGCTCCATTTTCATTTAGAGAATTTTTGTATTAGAATCAAATATCATCACACTTCAGGCGTACCATAAATATATCAAATATAATGCTATCAAATTGTCCTCCTAGGGAGCATTTAAAATTAATACGTCAGATATAGTCTATCGCTTTGGTCAATAAATGCATTTAAATAAATTATCTTTCTAACTTCTGGTTCGACTTGTCTTGATAGTTAAGTTTTTCATTCATTTATACTTTCATTTGTACGATAAATTGACACATAAATGTACAAGTACCTTAATATTTTGACTTAGGTTGCAAAATGGATGAATATGGTGAAAAATATTTAAAAAAATGCGAAAAAGGACTAAAATGGAAGAAATTGGAAGTTCAGAGACCAAATTACAAATAATTCAAAGATGAAACGGGCGATGAAATGATGATTGAGAAGGCTAGGGGTCAATTGGGTGCACCTAGAAGTCAAAAGAAGTTAAATATGAACATAACATTTTCACGGATCAATTTTCAACCGCACAGGGATGTTCCAGATTTTCAGCCGGAGATTGACATCCATTTTTGACCTAGTAAACGTTCGAATTAGAAAAGAGCTACTTTTAGCAAAATTGTAGCTCTTTGTGTTAGATTTTCAATGCAATTTGAATCACCTTAATCAAATAACGGAAAAGAAAGTTATGGCCAAAATATTAAAAACTATCCGATAGAGAAAAGTGGTATAACCATGCGACCGTAGCCATTTGTTCCATGTGGTTGCACATAGTGGTTCAGTGAGCTCATAGGCTATAAATCTTTGATCCATGCGATCGTACAAATTTCTACCATGCAGTTGCATAGTTCAATTCCGAGGCATGAAGTTCGATTTCCTGATTTCAATCAAACACTTACGAAAACCCGTTTTCATCACGATATTTAAGCCCCGGGTCATCCCAGAACGTAGAATACACATCTCCATACATATTTTCTCTAGTTTTTACGCAAGATTTCCATGGAAAACTAAAGATCTTGATGAAGCTATGAAGGAACTCAGTTGGTTTTACTGATTTCAATATCTTCTGATTCATGTAATTTGCATTTTTCATTGTCAAACAATTCTAGGGTTTAGATTTTCTTTTCATGAATTTGTTTCGAAATTGGCTCAATGTTTATTAATTTTTCATGGATTTAGTCATGCTTTTTTTCATTGAATAATTGAAATATTTGTTTGAGTTTCAATTTCAATTAATTTTACTGGTGTGATTCTTTACTGCCTTATGCTTGAAGTATATGGTTGATCTTGAATCTTATTTCAATACTTAAAAACGGGAATGTATTTTAGGAAGTTTAATCTTTATAATTACTATTGAATTAAATTGGTGCTTAATGTTCTATTTTTTTTGGCTAGAGAAACTAGGTTGAATATCTCAAATTAAGTAAAACAACATGAATTGTTGATGTTGAATAATCCAAATCAATTGAGGGTATTTCGACACTTCACTACTTCACCCATTGACATTTAAATCTCATTTTAATTCGATAAACAAATCATTTTCATACAATTCACGAAAACCCTAATTTGTTGAATCTTTTGAGCAACTTATTCATCTCCCTATGGAATTGACGCTCCAAAGCTGTGCTATAACTATCGCATTATTCTTTGGGCGTAATCATGTCTTTTCCATAATTTAGATAATAATGCATTTTTACATTATTTTCAACTTCTTAATTCTTCTCCCAAACTGCTGAGAGAATTGTCCAATCAAATCCTATTTGGGATAAGAATTCAAACTACGGATTTATTCTCAGTATTATTTACTTTTCATCTCGTTGTAATGTAGTAGATTAATTGTACTATTAAATAATCTGATGAAGAAATTATGCTCGATTATAAGCCAATTATAACAAAAGGAACTAAGATATTAACATGATGTATAATAACATTCTCACATGATTGGGAAGAATTTTGTTCTCAATTAATTGAGGAAGTTTAAAAAATAATAGCGTTGAATCATTTATTGATATCCAACAAACACATATTAAAATTTTGAGATTTAGAATTACTAGAAATAACAAGACACAATCTTGATTGTATAATCCGAAAATTATGCTCATAATTCAAAATTTGTGCAGCGATTTTGCAAATTTCAAGTTGTGAACACCATGCAGTCATCTAGTATATGTATCAGATCTATTAGATACAAATAATATTTAGACAATCAACGTGGAGGATGATATGGCCCCATTTATCACCCCAATCAATTTTCGAAAATATAAGAAATTCAGTCTTTATTTTAGTTAGTGATGTTTAATGATAATTTTTTATGAAAAAAACAAACAT